GTGGGATGTTTCCGTCCTCCAAATTACTCTTGATTTCCTACCTTCCAGCCATCGGGTCACTTTCAGGAAGAAATTGGATCCTTACAACCAGTTTGGGGTTTTTGGAGGCTCTTAAGCAATTGGGGCCATGGGCAATGCTTACTCAACCAAAGGTGGGGGAAAAAAAATCAAACGCAATTATAATTATTCTTCGGAACTCACGTGTGGTGTTTTTTTTAATCAGGAGTTGGCTTGCAAAGTCACTGCATTTTACAATAAATCTACGAAGTGCTTTGAGACGTCCAGCTGATGTGAAAGATGCTGGAGTAAATAATAATAATGCAATAATAATAATCCTTTCATTTGATGTTTAATAATCATAATCCTTTCATTTGATATTTAATAATAATAATGCTTTCATTTGATATTTAATAATAATAATCCTTGCATTTGATACAGCGCCTTATCATGTCTTCGAGACGCCTCAAAGCGCTTCACAGAATATACTGTAAAGTGAATTTTGTGGGCGAAACGTGGTAGACAATTGCGCACGGCAGCGTCCCACAGTCATGGATTGAAGGGTGGTCTCTTCTCTTCTAAAGATTTTTTTCATTTACTGTGTCTGGTAGGGCCAGCATTTGATGCCCAACCTCTCGCTGCCCTGAGATGATGGTCATTTAGTTTCTCTTCAGACAGTCCTTGTGACGGACTGAGATCTAAGAATTATTTCTGCCGCTGGATTATTTGAAGACAAGAGGGCGTGAATTAAAGATTATACAGTGGGACTCTACTATACTGCACTTTGATATAACGTGGGTCAGTATATAACACAAAGCACACAGTAGCCACACAATATACCGAAATGCAGTACAATTCCAACTTCTGGCACTGACTGTCTGGCGTCCGAATTGACAACAACAATTTGCATTTGTATCGAAGGCCTTCACACATTTGAAGTATGAAATGTTTGGCTGTTTGAGCAGAGTTGCTAAGGGCATTTGAAAGGGAACGTTTATGTCAGCCTGACTTAGTTGGTAGCATTCTCATCGCTGCGTAAGAAGGTTCTGATTTTAAGCCCTGTGTTGGGACTTTGAGCTCATAGTCCAGGCTGACACTTCAGTGCAGTGCTAAAGAAACACTGTGCCGATGGAGATGTCATTTTAATAAATTATAATAATCCATGCATTTGACATAGCGCATTATCACATCGTAGATCGAAGCAATTCACCGGATTTTATGGTGAATCGTAGTGACTGTGCATTTTTGTACATCCAGTGCCTTGGGACGTCCTCCCGACCGGAAAGGCGCAATACAAATGTAATTTTGTGTTGTATTTTTAGGCAAAAGTCAATTAGCACACAGCAGTGTCCTGTCCACATGTAGGCATGAAATGACTGACCAATTTTATCTGGGGAATTGCTGGCCAGGACAACAGGAAAAACTCCCTTCTCGCTTTTGGTTGAGATGTTAAACTGAGGTCCCGTCTGCCTCTTCAGGTGGATGTTAAAGATCCCATAGAAATGGCAGAGGTAATGGAGGCTGTCGGGGGCATTCCCCCTCCTCCCACCCCACCCCACCCCACCCCGGAGGCCTGTATGGGGCCTTTATCTCCCGCTCCATCTCTCTCCCCCTCGCTCTCCGCCTTGTCTTGTGCTTCACACGACCTAGTTCTCCGGTGTCCGGTTGATGATGGAATAGCCAGCCTGGCTCATTTGGCAAAATATGCCAATATGTCAACTTTATTCTACTCGAATATAAAGCATCAAACTATATTGAACCATGACTCCACGACTATCACAAAATATGAGTGAGATCCATAGAATTGAGGCAAGGAATCCCATTCCAGAGATTCGGAGCATAGTGGCTGATAGCACGACCTGTGCCAGCCTAGCGAAGGTTGGAACAATTTACATAACAATTTACATTTCTATAGCGGCTTTTACACTGGGAGGATATTTTGAATGTCTCAAAGAGCTTCACACAGCTGCCTGGGAGCCCAAATATTTTTTTTGGGGTGGGTTGGGGTGGGGGGAAGGGGCGAGGGAGGGGGAGGGCTGTGAAGCTGAGGTGGGATACAAGCAGAATTCTTTTTTGAATAGTGCCATCTTTAGCACCCATCTGAAATCAGACCACCACCACCGACACCAAAATTACTTTTGTATTGCGCCTTTCACGTCAGGAGGACGTCACAAGGTCCCAAGACCTGAGTTTAATTCGGTACTGAAAGGACAGTGCTCCCCCAGTAGTGGAGTCCTATATTGTAGTGGTTACAGCACTCGCCTTCACAAGCGAGAGGACCCGGGTTCGATTCCCGGGCAGAGAGAAACCTTAGGCAGGTTTCCATACTGCACACGTCTATGTTTAACTAGCAGTAAGTAGGAACCTGATTGTTAGTTGATTGGCCGAACACTTTCCGGAGGTAATAGTCCCTTCAAAAATAATAATAATAATAATTTGGTCACTCAATCCATGACTATTGGTAGGACACTGCTGTGCCCAATTGGCTCCCACATTTCGCCCACAAAATATACTGTGGATTGACTTTACAACTGTTATATAGCATTTATATAGTGCCCCCTAATCAGGGTACCAGAACTCTTGAGATGCTTGGGAATGCTTTACGGTATATTCCGTGAAGCGCTTTGAGACATCTTAACAACGTGATACGACGCAGGATTAAATGCAAGGATTTACTTATTTAAATTTTAGTGTACTGGAGTGTCCAACCGTTACTTTGAGCTGAAAGTGCCGTTGTGGGGCGGGCATGAAACAACAGCCTTTTGACACAGCGGTGACAGTGAGACCCAATGGGCCAGTCCAAAACCTGAGAAGGAAAACACGAGTAAAGTTTGAAGTGAACCGTTTCAGTTTCCTTTCCAAGATAAACCGTTCTGCTTCACAGAATGCCTCGGTTTCCCCAAAAAGCAATCAGATTATTCACTGCATGTGCAATGAACTCCTCCCACATTGTGACAGAGAAACAGAGAAAAGTACCCTATGAATATTTCTGAATTGGACAATTTTGTGTACCTGAAAGCAGGATGTCACAATGAGCTACATATCAGTCATCCTTACAGGTCAGCCACGCTGTCATGCGATACTTGGAACACTTGGAATTTGGAAATTTTATATTCTCCTTGTTCTTTCTTGCTTAACAAGTGGAAACAGCCTCTCCATTTACCGTATTAAAACGACCCAGTTTTGAAACCTCAGTTACATCCTGCCACAATAGTAATAATAATAATAATAATCCTGGCATTTGATATAGCGCTTTTCACGTCGGGAGGACGTCCCAAAGCGCTTCACAGAACACACTGTAAAGTGAATTGACTGTATGTTTGTGGGCGAACGCGGCAGCCAATTGCGCACAGCAATGTCCCACAAACAGTCGTAGATTGAAAATGACCAATTTATTATTGTTTTTTTGGAGGGATTATTATTAGGCTCTGTGTGGAGTAAGGAAACTTGCCAAGGTTTCGCCCTCTGCCTGGAATTGAACTCAGGTCTATCACTTGCAAAGCGAGTGCTCTAACCACTGAGCTACAGGACTCCACAAAGCTCCCCTGCTCTTTTTTGTGGTCGTTCAGGTGTCTAACCCATGCGGAAACCAATCACCATGCGTAAGAATGTCCAGACCATGGCGGGCACTGACTGGAAAAGCGTCTTGCTGCTTGTCAAGCTAACGCCCACCGCCCTGTACGTTAGGGCATCGGCTCGTCGGATTAACAGGAGCTGAGTGAGAATAATTGCCAGTATCTTGTTTGACTCCCAACTGTTCTTTAAGCCCCACATCTGTGCTCCGGCCCGTTCAGCTGATGTTGAGCCAAGCGTATCATTAACACTGCTCTGGTGTACTGCAGAACTTCCAGGCTCAGGGGAGCAGGTACCAGGAAGTCCCAGTGAGCTTCAGGGTAAGTAGTGCAACTCAGCATAGAATCCATGCAGAGCTTTGCCATTAACTATCTGCCCACATTTTGGGCACACATCCTTTACTGAGCAATTGCTCTCCCTGTTGGAAGTGCGAAGCTTTCAGTAGCAGCTGCTTACCTCTCTGCATACCAATCAAGGTTGATACCAGGCCCTGGCTAAATAATACAGTGCTATACAGTTCTCAAATTCTAAAGTATTTTACAGTTCTCAAAATCTCCAATCAGCTCAATTTAATATCAAGATCTCTGCCTCCTTCAACACTGTTGGTCACGTTATTCTTCTCTGCCTCCTCTTCCCCAGCTCCACCTTCATGGTTCTGTCCTCTCCTGATTTCACTCTCACCTATCCCGGGGTCTTCACCTTGTCTCTTCTAACGGTTTCTGCTCCCGTCCCTGCAATGTCACACGCAGCCTTCCTTGAGGCTATATCCTTTTTAATATCTACATGCTCCCTCTCAGCGATGTCAACCACGGGTTAATTTCCATACCCAACTTTATCTCGCTGTCTCCACCATTGATTCCAGGTCCACTGCTGTCCTGACGGATTGTCTGTCAGATGTCAAGCCTTGGATGAGAGCTAACTTTCTCTAGTCGAAGGTCAACAAGACCGAGGCTCTCCTGCTCGGCTCCTGTTAGTGCCTCAATAGGCGCTGATAACATCACCATCCACGGAACACTCCACGAGCCGATGATTCATATCCTCTTTCGACTCCAATGGCTTATCTCCCAATAGATCATATTCATCCTCACATTAAAGTCCCTCCATGGCCTCTGGGATCCTCCTGTCATTATGCTCCCTCTCTCTGGAACTCCACTCCATTGTCAGTCCGCTCTTCCCCTCTCTCCCTTTCAAGTCGATCTTAAGATCTATCTTATGGACTGCACTTTTGATCACCTTTGCCCTCTCCACCCTCTCCATACCATCCACATTTCCCTGCCACCGGTTCAGTCTGCCAGTCAGCAGCATTGGGATGTTTTCTTGATGTGAAAGGCGTTATAAAAATGTAAATTGTTGTAATATAAATGGAATAATTTGAAATAATGTACTGTTCAACAACAACAAATTACATTTTTTGTAATTTAAAGCACCTTTCACGTCAGGAGGACATTTATAATAATTAATCTGCAAATGAGATCTACATTATTTATTCTGTAGGGGGCCAATTTATTTGCAATAACATAAATCACAATTTTGTGGTAGTGTTAGGAATAGTTTTATTGTCTACATTTAATTCAGGTTCAATAGCTATTTTTGTGTGAAGACTGCATTTTCAATAACCAGAATCTCTTTCAGAGTGCAATAGCTTGGATCCGAGATCAAATCCAAGGATCAAAGCCAGTATAAATGATGTCAGATACTACAACAGAGAAGTAAGAATTTTGGTTAGATGCTGATGGTGTCTTTGTCTTAAGATGCAGGTTTACAAACAGGAATCGCAACCAAAGATCAATATCTCTGCCAAAAAGCTGGGATCGGGGATGATGGCAGTAGTAATTAAAGTCAGTAAAGACGGAGCTATATTTGGAATTTCAATCTCAGGCAGTGTTAGCAGTAATTAAACATTATGCTGTGCTTTGGTGAATGAGTCTCACTGCCTGCAGAAGGTACATCTTAGGAAACAGAATCAGCGCCATTAACAGGATTGGTCACATCTGCAGTCTCAGGTGCAGTCACTTCTGTGGTCTCAGGTGCAGCCACTTCTGTGGTTTCAGGCGCAGCCACTTCTGTGGTCTCAGGCGCAGTCACTTCTGTGGTCTCAGGCTCAGTCACTTCGGTGGTCTCAGGCTCAGTCATTTCTGCAGTCTCAGGCGCAGTCACTTCGGTGGTTTCAGGTGCAGTCACTTCTGTGGTTTCAGGCTCAGTCACTTCTGTGGTCTCAGGAGCAGTCATTTCTGCAGTCTCAGGCGCAGTCACTTCTGTGGTTTCAGGTGCAGTCACTTCTGTGGTCTCAGGAGCAGTCACTTCTGCGGATTCAGGGCTAGCAGCAGCAGTGACAGCTGCAGACTCAGGGCTAGCAGCAGCAGTGACAGCTGCAGACTCAGGGCTAGCAGTAGTCACAGCTGCAGACTCAGGGCTAGCAGTAGTCACAGCTGCAGACTCAGGGCTAGCAGTAGTCAAATCTGTAGACACAGGACTAACAGGAGCAGTCACATCAGCAGAAACAGGAGTACTAACGGGAGGAACTACATCTGAGGATTCTAGATCAGTGCTGGTAATGGGTGCAGATTCATCCAATATATTGGAATCTGGGCCAAGAATGGAGGCATCTACAGCTGGGGATTCAGACGGCACAGAGCCATCAACAGAAGATTCATCTGGCGAGGCTAATTCATCAGGGCCACGAATAGGAACCGTCATATCTTGGGAAACAGGCTCACTAATAGAAGATTCTACATCTTGAGAAACAGGCTCACTGATAGGAGATTCTATACTTTGGGAAACAGGCTCACTGGTAGATTCTATATCCTGAGAAACGGGTTCACTGATGAGAGATTCTACATCTTGGGAGCCAGGCTCACTAACAGAAACAGGTAGATCTGCAGAGTCAGGATGGGGCACTTTGGTAGAAGTATCTGTAGCTTGGGAATCAGAGGCGATAGTGGCAGGAACAACTTTAGAAGATTCAGCTACCTCTGAAACTTCAACATCAGATTCTTCAATGAGGGCCATTTGTGTCGGTTCACTACTTTCAATTTCTTGCATGAAAATAGTTGTGCTTGAGGAAGCAGAATCAACAGTTTGGGTGGAAGGAGACGTGTGCAGAAAGCCGGTGGTGGACATGGTTGTAGACAGGTCTGTAGTGATGAGAAAAAAATACTAAATACAGAAACCACATTTTCACATACACAAATCAATGATACAATGATACAGAAAGAGTTTAGAGAAATAAGGAAATGTGAAAAAAGTGACAAAGAAGAAAAAAGAATCTACTCCAAACTGGGAAGTAAATTATGTGCAGAAGTCAAATATGCAATAATTTCTAAAGGGATTCCTCAATCAAGGAATCCAAGTAAGGTCTCTTATTGAAAATCTAAACGCATCACACATTTGTCTCACTAACTCGGAGGAACTAACTGCATAGGATCAGGATTCCTGTGAGCCAACTTGAAGAAATTCTAAATTTACTTAAAGAATCCTGTTAGAAATCATTGCATATTACAACAACTTGCATTTATGTAGTGCTCTTCACGTACAGTAATGTCTCAGACTGCTTTACAGAGACAAAGGTAGATTTTAGATTGAAGCAAGGTATATAGCAAGGTAAACAGCTAAATAAATAAGCAGCAAGACAGAGGGTTTGAAAGAAGGAGTTCCAGTCCAGAAATGGGAGCAGAAGCTTTGGCTGCCAATGGTAGGGCAGAGAGAAAAGGGGATGTACAGAAGGTCTGGGTTTGCTGTATGTAGGGAGCCAGTGGGGGCAGGAAAGACAGAAATAATGGGGCTGTGAAGTTTTGTGCAGGTAAGCATACGAGCAGCGGAGTTTTGGATAATTTGTCGCTTGCAGATATTGGAGCTGGGGAGGCTGGTGAGGAGGGCATTTGAGAAGTTGAGTCTGCAGTTGACAAAGGCAGGAATAAGACTTTGGGCAGTATTGGTTATGAGATAGAGACATAGGCATGCAATATGGCAAAGGTGTAGATCGGTCTGCTTCAGAGATATGAGGGGAGGACAGCTGAGGATTAGCCTGAACATTAAGGTTTTGTACTGATTCAATGAGTTGGAGATAGAGAGTAGGAAGGCTGAAGTGATTGAGAAAGAAGAAGTCAGAAAACATTGGTGGGAAATGAAGGGAATGTCTTCCATCTTGTTCATGTTTAGGTGAAGGAGGTTTAGGCTCATCCAGGACTTGAAATTTGACAGGCAGGCTTGTCAGAAGGTCAATGGCCCAGGAATCAAAGGTAGAATTAGAGAAGTACAATTGGACATAATCCGCATACAGGTTAGACCCGTATTAGATTTTTTTAAAATTAGAAATGCACATATTAGAATTAGCTTGCTAGTTTTTTTTAAAAGTTACCTATGATAATTCCAAATTGATCAAGTACAGCTTCTCCAAAAATTAAGCGAATATGTTGCCGAGCATGTTGGATACTGGATGAACCATGGAGTCCATTCTGTAAAATGCTTTTACCAAACTGAGCTCGAAAAGAATTAGGAAAAGACTTCTTTGCCAATTCAAGGTCTGCAGGCCCCATCAGGTCCCTCCAATCCCTGACTGCATTTTCTTTGGTTAGAATCATCATCAGCGATGTACCACTGTGTAAATAAATGAAAAAAAAATAGTAATAAAGGGAAATACTGTATACTGAAATGATTACTACCCACTTCTTACTTTGAGTTGAGATCTACCTTTGCATTCAGCTTTACAAGATTTACAAATTTACAAGACGTGAGAGTGCTACCAAATGAGTCAGACTGACATCTACATACAAATAAATTATGCAAAAGTAATGTCCTGTAGCGTATTGGTTACAGTGCTCGCCTTGCAAGCGAGAGACCCTGGTACGATTCCTGGGCAGGGCGAAATCTTAGTTAAGTTTCCTTACCCCACAGCCTCTGTTCACCTACAACAACAACAACAACAAGATTTCATTTTTAGAGCGCCTTTCACGTCGGGAGGACATCCCAACGCGCTGGACAGTTGGGTCAGGATATGACCATTTATTTCATTTATGACCAATACTAAGATTTCGAGCACTAGGATTACTTTTAGAACACAGGTGAAAGGGTGGTGGTACCCCGATCAAAGAAAAACAACTGGTTTCAGATGGAATTGTAAATTTTTACAGTTTCTTACTCAAACTATTAAGAAATAAAATTCCAAGAGGTTGAAATTCTATTGCAGAATATCTGGAGAGTAAATAAAAATAATACTAATCCTTGCATTTGGAACATTCCTTTCACGCTAGGGACGACATCTCATAGATTTACATAGACAGTACAGCACAGAAACAGGCCATTCGGCCCAACCAGTCTGTGCCGATGTTTATATTCCACACGTACCTCCAACTTCTCCTTACTCCTACCATATTCTTCATTCACTTCTTCCTCATGTGGATTACCTAACTTCCTATTAAATGCATCTGCACATCCTGCTTCAACCACCACTTTGGCCAGTACTGTAGATTTCTACCTTTTCATTACCCTCTGCATGAAGTCATTCTTCCCAAAGTATCTTTTAGATTCCTTATCTTAAATCTGTATTCTGTGGTTACAAACTCCCCAACAAGAGGGAACAGTCTACTTATACTAACATTATCATTTTGTAATTTTATAATTTTAAACACGTCTATTAGTTCCTCTCTTAAACGTTTCTTTAGCCAAAAATGGCCTTTCTATCCAGTCTATCCTGATAGACAGCCCCAGGTATCATCCTACAATACCTATTCTGCATACAACAACAAAAACAACAACAACAACAAAATTACATTTATAGAACGCCTTTCATGTCAGGAGGACGTCCCAAAGCATTGTATACTTTCCGTTGTTGCTATATGCTTCTTATAGTATGGTAATGAGAATTGGACACAGTTCTCCAAAGGTGGTCCAACCAAGGTTTGTACAAATTCAACATTACTTCTTCACTTTTATACTCTTTAGCTCTGGATATAAAGCCAAGACCCAATTGGCCTTTTATGGTCTTATCTGCTTGTGTTTTTTTTAGAAATTTGTGGAATCTGAATTCCCAGATCTATCTTCTCCTCTACTCCTCTTACGTTCCTACCCATCTAACCTATAGATGGCTTCTTTAATCTTTTTCTGGCAAAGTGAATTGTTTCACATTTTCTTATGTTAAATTTAATTTGGCATCTGCCTGCCCAATCTGATAGCCTTTTATTTATCATGCCCCCCTCCCCAGTTTGCTGTCATCTGTAAATTTTGACACCACACCTTCTATATCTGAGTTTCAAAGCAAAATATAGTACTTGTAGTCAAATAGGGCAGCCAAAATGTGCAGCAATGTCCCACAAACAGCCATGAATGAGCAATTTTATTTGGTGGACTGGTGGCCAGGAGACCGTGAAAAACTCCCTCCACTTTTTGAATAACGCCATGGGATCTTTAACATCCACAAGGTGCACAACATGGTACTGATTAATAACATTCAAATACCTTCAATGTCAATGTATACTGGCAGCACATCTCTTCCCCTTGAAAGACTCCAACAACAACAACAACAGAATTACATTTGTACAGTGCGTTTCACTTTGGATGTTCCAAGGCACTGGACAGACAGAAGTTTGGACCCGAGCTGGGCTTTGGGGTCAGGGAGTGTGGAGGGCGAGGAGGGAAGCAGGGGGATCGAAAGCCCGGTCGAAGAGGCGGCTCTTGAGATGGGTGAAGGAAGCAAGGGAAGGGGCGAGGCGAAGCGACTGCAGGATAGCTTTCTGGAGGGTGGGGGGAGAATGGCAGGAGGACCACCATAGTGGAGCGAGCAAGGCGGGGCACGTGAAGCAGGCCGGAGCCCGCTGAGCGGAGGGAGTGAGCAGGATGGTAGGGGGTTAGGAGGTCCCATCCAGTTTATTGCATATGAGTGCACAGTCATCCCAAACATACTATACAAATTAAATAGGGTTTGCTCCCAACATTGTTGCATTAAATCACCCCACAGGAAATATTAGCTATTTCCATTATCAATTAATTACCGAGACATGTAGTTCACCAGTTCTTTGAAATGTGCTTTTCCTTTCTGATCTTTATAGAATTCTGCTGCCATTTCAGGAGTCAACTCAACTGATTTCATTGCAGAAATAATGAAGCCTGATTTCTGGATTTTGGCTATAATCTCTTCTGCAGATGGGAGAAACAAAAAAAAATCTTATAAAGTAAGGCATTATACAGAAAATACACACTAAACCTACTGCAAAACCTAGGATGTGTTTATATTTAATATAAAATGGTGTTCCTAAAAAATACATATTTTATATGTCAAGGTATCAATGGATAATTTTAGGTTTTCTGTCAATGTAATAATAATAATTCATGCATTTGGTATAGCGACTTATCACGACTTATTTGGTCAAGGCAGCAGACTGCAAAAGTTTCGGTGAAGCTGACTAACCATATAGTTTGTAAGTCAAGCTGCTTTCAGTGCCTGAGAACAACAACTTACATTTATACAACGTCCTTCGCGCGGGGTAGAGTCCCGGAGTGCTGAGATTTGATCAGATAAGATGGAAAGAGTGCAACGTCCTAGATTATTTCACAGTTTTTTTTCAAAACGGACATAACCATCTGTACAGAGGCAGCCCCAGTGCTGCTGTGGCTAGAGCTGCACCTAACAGACCAGGAGCTTATCTATTTTGAATTGTGCTAATTTTGCTGGTCTCAGCATGGAGAGGCTAAATTGGCCCTGGGTTTCTGAAAGAAGGGAAAACCAGCCAGTGTTCCTGCTCCTAGTCCATTTCTAGCTCCCTTTACTAGTTGTGCGCATATGGCAGTCAGGTGGAGACACATCAGGCTTGGCTGTGATGCCCTCAATGGCCAGTTGCTCTACAAACGCTCACTGCCAAGGCTCACACATCAATAATGCTCGCTTGTGCAGGGTACCGATGCCTCTGGAACCGCACTCCAGCTAGAGGAGGCTGGACAGCAAAGAGGCATCTGCCAGTGGGGAGAATATTAAAAAAAAGTACTAATTTTCTGTTAAAAAGATATAAAGTACAGCAATGTACGAGTTCTATAAATCTGTGACTTTCCCAATTAAAGGAATCTTATCAGCAATTATGAATTTTAAACTTGAGCCAATGGCACACAACAAATGTAATCCTTTATTTAATGTGACAGTTAGCCCAAGATGGATCAAGCAGTTGGGGGTGAGCTCATGGTAGAAAGTCAATTATGAATTAGATTAGATACTACCCAGCTCCCACCCCCAAATATTTTCATGAATAACATTTGTTTGATTTGTTCTGAAAGGAGATTCCATATTTGAAACTAAACGAGTTTTAGAAAGCAAATTGGATCTTTGCTTGGCATCCAACCCCACGACTGTGTAGAGCTGTGAGATGCCATCCTGTATGAAATATATAAAGGTCATGAAATGTCATGCAACAGCCAGAATGGTGGAAGGTGAACTGGATGGACCTTGGTCTTCTTTCGTCCAGCAAATTCTATGTTCTTAGACAATGGACTCAGTAAGACTCCCTGTGTAGGGATCAAATGCTGGACAAGTGTATCACTACCTCCTTTGGACTCGGAAACCAAACTGTTATGACTTGGAAGAGAGAGGAGGGATATTCACATTAGGTGTCTTTCACTCAATCTTGGAAGTATCCCACTGGATCTGGGTTCCATCTGAGTTATCTGATGTATTTCCCATGCTGCCAGAGATCTAATCTCCATTGCTGCAGCTCTACTTTTTAAGAATCTTTCTTCTGGAAGATCACTCTTCTGCTTGAGCACAGAGAGCAGAGGCAGCTGTGTTCTGGTCAAATATTGAGCTTATCGTTGGCGTCCTAAAACTACCAATGAGGCCAGTCAATTTGTCAATAGTTGAACAGGACCAATAACGAGTACTTTGTATATCTAGATGCATATAGTTCATCTCTTTAATAATATTACATTTGATTATAGCACCTTTTAAAAAGGGAAAGACGTCTCAAAATGCTTCACATTTCTGTAACGTGTATTGACTGCATTTGAAGGCAAATTAAATTCATCTCAACTAATAACTTGAGGTAACTTACTGCTTACCTTTGTATTCTAATACAGCATCAGGTTTGATTGCTATTAGAGTGTGCTCAACAGGGAAGAAATAACGTAGTTCCTTCATTGCAATTTCAGAGCTTTCACTACCGTGTATCTGGTTGAATGGAATATCCGGACATACATATCTTGCTCGTAAGCTAAACCAGGCAACAATAGTATACACAATATTATCAAGTTCATAGAAAAATAATACTGTTTGAACATATATGCAACTCCAGGTTTTATACAAAATAGTTGCATACTTGTCAGTGTTACTTAGTATTGTGTTATTTAGCTAACTCCATGGCTGCTATTGGGATATTGTTGTGCACAAACTAGCTTCCGCATTTGTTCACAAATTACACGATCCACTTTACAGTATATCCTGTGAAGTGCTTTGAGATGTCTTTGAGATGCCCTGAAGGTGTAGTGGATAGAGCTGTAGGTACAGACTAGCTCACTGGGTGTAACAAAGTGATTCACAGATCATTGTTCTACTCCACTATCAGTGATCGAACCTTAGGCAACCACACCCCCAACCACTGAATGTCCTCCCTCTACTCCTCCTTTTCATCCCCATTGTATATCACTTTAAATCCTGCCTATAAATCTACCTCTCCTCTGTTGCTTTTTGGGGGAATAGTGCTTTGAGATGTCTCAATGTTGTGATAAGATGCCAGAGATTTCCCATCTATTGTCTTTACAGACATTAAAAAAAACTAAAAGCAGTGTCAAAATCAAAACTTCACCACCTTTAAAACTAAATCTTACTTTGGAAATATCTGATTCACATAATTTCTTAATAAACAATCAGAGAAGCATCGATAACGGTACAATACAAGGAAGGTTGAACCTCCATTTAAGATTACTAACTGGGGAGGCGGTAAACATTATTTTCTTCCCTTGTAATCTTGTCACTCAATAAATGGCTGATCCACTCCATCTTTACACAAGGTTTATTCATTTGTCCAGGAGTACAAATCTATTTGATCACTACTTTACAGTAAAATAAGATACAGTTCAAGACCAGAAACACTACTCCAATTTCAAAAATTGATCAAAAATTAGCATACGCATTGAAAAAACTGATAAGCTATATGCAGTCAAAAGGATCAATCACTAAATGATCAATCATCTGAACACAAATTCACCTTGTAGGATTATGTTCTTGTGCTATCTCAATGTCGTAATTTCCCATTAGGTTTCTCCAATGCTGGATAGCATTTTCTCGAACCAGAGCTAATGCCAGTAATGGACCACTGTAACATAAGCAAATTATCAAAACAATTATACTCGCTTCAATGAACAACTTGTTAACCATCATAAATTAGTAGAAATTACTTACATATAATGAAGCAAAAAAAATGAGGTCAATTTACTTTCAGCATTTTACAGAGCTTAGTGACCATTTTCATGAACTTTTCCATAAAAATAAAAGTCCTCTGAATATCAAAAGCATAGACATTTCTTTAAGCTACATTTCGTTCTTGATTTAAGATCCTACCCTATAGAGCAGGGTGGTCGAACTTTTTGGCTGCATCCGGCCCGAGACCATTTCCGACATTCTAACCCGCTGCCTCCCTCCCCGTCTTCCTATGGTAGTGCAGGAGCTGTCGGTTGGGAGGAAGCAGCATGGGGAGTGGAAATAATACGGCTGCTACAGAAGTTGGAATGTTGGAAATGGTCTTGGGCTGGATAAAATCACCCTCTGGGCCGGATGCGGCTCACAGGCTGCCTGTTGGACGACGCTATGCTGGAAATGAAGCAAATTCCTTATTATTTCTTTTGGTGAAAGAAGGAAGAACAGACTCTTATTTGCTTATATGATGGTTTGCTTTTTACATCAACGTAATTGGAAAGTAACCCTGCAGTGCATTTGGTGAATGGAATTTTCCGATTCTCCCCATTATCCCAAGAGGAGCTTTGAGCCACTGATTAGGCTTCCTGTGTATGACAAAATTATGGTGTTGCATAGATACTGTGAAATACTCTTCAGCAGCTATATCATTTTATAATAAAAAGTAATTACCTTGCCATGTATTCTATGAATCCTGAAGGCATCTCAGTATGCTGATTTGATAACCTATAAAATTTTGTTATTTGGTATTCTGTAAGTTGCAATTGTTTTTGGAATGCTATGGTAAATCCTGCCTTCTGAATCTCATCCAGAACAGCATCTAAAGAAAAAAAAGAAAAGAGAAGAGGACAGCTACATAAGGATAAGCTGCACTATATGCTTGTAAGTCTACTAATTATTTATGCAGGTATTGTGTATATGATCTATAAATCAAGATACACAAATAGAAAGATCAGAGAGATGTAAGAAATGTTCAGAGGAAAGTGGTTGCCTATACTTGAGAAGCAATGTAAAAACAACAACAAATTACTTTTATATGGCACCTTTCACATCAGGAGGACGTCCCAAGGCACTGGAATCACAGGGATGAATTAAAGTGTTGGAGGGGTGAACAGTGAGAAATGACTGCGTAAGTAAGTTAGCGCTGGCTTTTCAGCCTTGGAATGAGATGTTTAAGAAGTGTAGAGGTAGGTACAATTCTAAATGGGATTGAGATCCAGAACACTACTTTCAGGCACTCCAAAGCAACAGGATGAGAAGGCACAGGTTCAGGGCTGTGAAGGAGAATGTCAGAACAGACTCCAGGAAGTATTTCTTTACACAGAGAATAAATAATGGGGCTCCGACCTCTAAACTCCCAGCCTATCCCTCAAACCCACCATGAACCTGTGAACAACCTAGGTGTTTGGTTTGATCCCTAGGTGTCCTTCTTTCCTCATATCCGGTCCCTGACCAGGACCACATTCCTCCACCTCCGCCACATCGCCGCCTCCAACCAAACCTCACAACAAATGCTGCTGAAACCCAACCTGCCCATTTGTAGTCTCAAATAGAAAAGGGCTGATATTCATTCGGTGTACCATTAAAAACTTGTGTTAAGTCATCATTAAAAAGAAAGTTAGCTATTAGGACTGTAAACCAAACAAGTGGTCTAGTATAAAGAACCATTCCATAAAACAGTGATTGAAACCAACCCAACTGCTGTGGCAGCTATTTTCAATCATAGCAAATCGCATCAACAGTAGAAGACCATTGCAAAGTACTATATGCATGAGCTTGTGACTCATTTATAAGTTTCTATCTTACCCCAATTTCATTAATGTGATTAAGTAATACAAATCTGGTCTGCTTGCAGCATTTTGGAAACAAAGTCCACACTGCAACTTTTAATGCAGTATAAAAGTGGTATACAAATACTTTTTGTGGTTCGGTTTTCTCTTTTCTTGTTTGTAACTATTTTCTCTTCGCAGCCTAATTTGATGTTGGATCTTTCCTGACTTTTTAGTACAACTGTTTATGTTTATTACCGGCAATGCCAATATTTCTGTTTACTTTGGATAATGTACCCAATTATATAGTATGGGGAATAAGGAGAATGAGTGACTACATCATAAATACAAAAATTAATTTTCCAGTTGAAGATAAGAAATATTTCAAAATTTAAACAATTCTACTGAAATTCACAGAGAATGGGTAAAAATCCAGTCTTGTACCTTTATTCTCTTCAACAAGTTTTGGTCTGAGGATGGCTAGTGTCTTTTCAGTTTTCTTTACACTTTCATAAACAGTAGGGAAAAAGAAAGCGAATAGTCTGTAGGCTAGTTCCCTGATGTCACTAAAAAAAAAGATTTAAAAATATGGAATTAAAATGGAAGAATTTATATTCTTGAAATATTTTTAGATTGGAAAGTTTTAAATGCAATAGTGTCCTCCACTGCGAAATACAAAAGGCAAGATAAATACTGTATAATAGGCATTTTTTGCTATATTCTCCTCATGGTTCTTCTTTGCTTCCTAATTTTGACCACAAAATATACAGTCAATCCACTTTACAGTAAATCCTGCGATGCGCTTTGAGACATCTCAATGACATGTTAAGGAACTATTCCTTCAAAAAAATATGAATTTGGTCATTATATCCCCAAATGTTTGCGGGACACTGCTGAGAGCCATTGGTTGCCGCGTTTCACCCACAAAATATACAGTCAACTCACTTTATAGTGTATTCTGTGAAGCTCTTTGAGACGTCTCGAAGACTTAATAAGGTGCTATATCAAATGCAAGGGTTATTATTATTAACAAGGTAGATAGTTGCACAATAACATTGATCAATAGTTAAGAATTGTAAAAGTGTTTTATACCTGTCTTCTTCATCTGTTTTGGCAATTTCAATATCCTCGTGATAAAAATCTTCCTTGTTGAACTTTTCCACTGTTTCACCTCCTTCAGATAATAATAGCGCATCACAAGGATCACTCGTCATCATTTCAATAAATTCGCTAAAGTGAGTCTGGTGAAAATAATTTAATTTATAGTGAGAATCAGACTTCACAAAGAACCACAAGGGAGATGTGGATGAGTGGGCACATCTGTAACCATTTACGCTCATTCTTCCAGAAAACCCACCCTACTGTCAATATAAAAACAAACTGAGTTTAGCATTCTAATCTCTACTACGCTTCCTTGTTTCAACTATTCATTACCCTCAGTGCAAAAAAAAATCCCTTCTGGTATCAGTACTAAATTTGGCCTTCACAACTTGTGGCCTCTTGTCCTCCTGGCTTTGTGCATGAGAAAGTACTGTCCTGGGTTTACTCCCTCACTCTCATTTAGTTTCTGATCCCAACACCCTGCTGGGGTCCAAATCCCTGACTGTCCAGCACATTGGAACATACTCCCAATGCGAAAGGCGCTATACAAATGTAATTTGTTGTTGTTGTATCTACCAGTTATAAATGTTCTTTCTAAAGCATTTTGTTCGGCGTATTTATTGACTCTTATCACATCTGACCAATATTGGAGATCATCACTGCAAGGCCAGATCTTACCTTTGAAAATATTTATTTTACTCACATTTTTTTTGTGAAGCAGTCTCATGAATTATTTTGTCATAGGACTCTTGGAAGTCCTGATAATAATAAGTTATAAGCGTTAAAATGAGTTCCCACTATCAAATCGATATGTTCCCTTCTCGAATGACTAATTTTGTTTGGAGGATTGCTGGCCAGGGAGAAACAACCTTCTCTTTTCAAGTTGTGCCATGGGATCTTTAATGCCCACCTGAACAGGCAGTCAGGGCCTTAGCTTAATGTCTGATCCGAAGGATAGCACTTACAACATGGCATTGAGTGTCATTTTAGACTACGTGAGTTTAAATCCCGATGTGGGGTTTGAATCCACAACGCTCTTGGTTCTAGAGGCCAGGCTGAATCAGAACAAACCGAGTCACCACCCTGCATAAAGGGTGCTATTTAAATATTAAAAGTTATTGATATATTCCTTCTCTCGTGTATGTCTATCTAGCTTCTTTTAAATGCATTTCTTTTAAAGGCAGTACTTACTTGATCCTTTTTGAAATCATACAGTTCTTTAGCATCAGATAAAGAAAGTATTTTCACTTCTTCAGCCACAATTAGGTACCCTGTTTCTTTAATCTTGAGGAAACACAAGAAGCCAATTAGTAATTATAGCTGAAAATTAGGTCTGTTAAAAAACATAGGGTGCATAGTATTAATGGAAAGGCAGCAGCATGGAAAGAAAGTTGATTAAAAGATAGGATACAGAGGGTGGGACTAGAGGGACTTAATAATAATCCTTGCATTTGCTATAGCACCTTATCACATCTTCGAGATGTCTCAAAGCACTTCATAGCATGTACTATAAAGTGAATTGACTGTATATTTTGTGGGCGAAACACGACAGTGAATTGCGCACAAACAGTTGTGAATTGAATGACCAATTTATTATTATTATTTTTTATTACTATTCTTTTGAAGGGATTATTACCCCCGGAAAAGCGATCTGCCAATCGGCTAACAACTGGATTCCTACTTACTGCTAGGTAAATAGGAGTAAGTCCTACCTGAGAATCGAACCCAGGTCCCCTCGCGTACAAGACGAGTGCTCTAACCGCTAAGCTGCAGGACTCCACATTCGCAATGGAAAGACGTAAATCATGGTGTCCCCCAGGAGTCCGTGTTAGAACCACTGCTTATCCCCATTTAAATAAATGAACTGGATTCGGGTATAAGCAGCACAATTTCTAGTTTGCAGATGACACAAAAATAGATACTATAGCTAACAGTGAGGAAGATTGTAAGCAACTTCTGGAGGACATAGTCAGATTAATTGATTGGTCAGAATAATGGCAAATGAAATTTAATGTGAATAAAAGTGAATATATTTTGGGAGTAAGGATAAGGAGAAGTACAGTACAGTATATATTGGGTAGTAAAATATTAGTCAATGAAGAGGTCATTAATTTAAGATAGTTAGTAAGGGGAGGGAAGTAGTTAGGGGAAACTGTTCACGCATATAGTAATTTGAATATGGAATGCCTTTAAAAGGGAACTAGAAAAATAATAATAGTCCTTGCATTTGATATAGCGCTTTTCACGTCTTCTAGACGTCTCAAAACTCTTCACAGAATATACTGTAAAATGAATTGACTGTATATTTGTGGGCGAAACGCATCAGCCAATTGCACACAGCAGTCCCACAAACAGTCGTGGTTTGAGTGACCGAATAACTATTATTTTTTTTGAAGGATCATTATCCCCGGAAAACCTTAAGAAGAGTCAGCTACAGGGGTATGGGGAAAGGGCAGGTAAATGCAATTGAAAGTATTGCTCTTGAGGGATCCAGACACAAACATGATGGGCCAAATTACTTTCTTCTGTGCATAAATTTATATGGTTTTGTATTTGCAATATTTGGTGCTTTATAAACGGAATTAGGGATGACTTACACGTTCTTTGATCATGTTGTCTTTTCCGGCAGTTAGTGCAGTAGGTCTTATAAGCACGATAGTGAATAGCTTTTCTGGTAAAATAATAAAGATTTTATTATAGTAACAATAATAACAAGATTAAATTTGTATAGCGCCTTTCGCGTCAGGCGGACGTCCCAATGCGCTGGACAGTGTGCAGCATTTCAGACACGAGCAGGGGTCAGGGGAGGAGAAGGGGCGTGGCCGATGGCACAGTCAAAGAGGAGGGTCAGTAAAACATTTCACAATATATTCACAATGTCAAAATATAACAACAACAACATCAAGATTCCATTTATTGAGCGCCTTTCATGTCGGGAGGACATCCCAGGGCGCTGTACAGTTGGGTCAGGACCCGAGCAGGGGGGGAAATGGTCAGGGTGAGGGAAGGGAGGGAGCGAGGAGGGGGTAGAGAGTCGAGAGGGGAGCTGAAGGCTCGGTCAAAGAGAAAGGTCTTGAGACCGGCCTTGAAGGAGGAAAGGGAGGAGGCGGCGAAGGCACTGGGGATAGAGTTCCAGAGCCTGGGGGCTGAGAGGCTGAAGGCCCGGCCTCCGATGGTAGGGCGGTTGGGGCGGGGGATGTGGAGCAGAGAGGAACGGAGGGTACGGGCGGGTAGGTAGGTAGGTCGGAGAGGTAGGAGGGAGCGAGGCCGTGAATGGCCTTGTAGGTGAGGGTGAGGATCTTGAATTCGATCCTCTGGGGGATGGGGAGCCAGTGGAGGCGAGCGAGGGTGGGAGTGATGTGTTCCCGAAGCTTGGTGCGGGACAGTACACGAGCTGCAGAGTTCTGAATGACTGCAGAGTTCTGAATGATATAACTCTGTACAGCTATAACAAATATAGGATTTTTGGGGGTGTTTGGCACACGCCGAAACTCATCACCGTGCTTAAGAGCATCAAACCAGAAAGACAGAGTTCCATGCATTCCACCTACACATGGACATTCCCACAGTTCAAATGCAATGTGCACTGTAGCCTCTGATGGTCGCCTCTTCCTGCTTATCTAATTGAAGAGTGTATTAGGTGTAGGTTGACAAGAGCCAAAGATCACCACCGATGTCAGGGTGGATTGACGGGGGACATGAAGCAGGTCGGTGTTCGTTGAATGGCTGGGTCGGTAGGGTTGCAGTAGGTCATGGAGGGATTCGAATGCAAGGATGCGGATCTTGAATTCAATTGAGTGGAACTGAGTGAGGATGAGATTTGTAAGCTCGCAGAGCCTGGTGCAGGAAAGGATATGGGCTGCGTGGGAAGTGTGGATGGTCTGTGAAGTCTGTGTAGGGAAGAGTTGGGGAGTCTAGTGAGCAGGGCTTTGGAATGGGCAAGCCTAGATGTGGTCTTGTAAAGGTCTTCCCGCCTTACTGAAGGCAGATGTCCCCAGATAGTTGATGGGGAAACTCTAGAGGCTTGTGGCGACAGCTGCTGGAAGGCATTACCTGGAGTCCGAGTTCGTGAACGCACGTTCGTACATCAAGCGCCTGGAATCCACCTTGTTTGGCCTGCAGAGAGGCAAGCAATAACTGCTCCACACTTCCAACTGGTAGAACCATTGTTCAATGGGAAGGGGCGTGTGCCTGAGCTGCAGACAGGCAGATCGTGGCAATGCTCTCACGCATTTCATGCTGAGCTGTGTTGTCTAGTGCCTTTCACGTCGGGCGGACGTCCCAAGGCGCCGGACAGTGTACCAAGATAGCAGGGAGTTCCTGTTACCTCCCATCCACCTAGTGAGGGCTCAAACTTGCGCTTTTCAGATGTCGGACGTCCAACTAATTACTATGCCCCTTGGGGGTGGGGAGGTAAATGGGGTCTCCTTGAAGCTGAACTGGCTCCCACTAAACTCCTAATTCACATGGAATATGCATTCTGCTCGCAAGAATTGGTACTGTTACGGTAAAACATATCACAAATTATATTGTAACGTATACTGTAGGATTACTCACCAACTTGCTTAGATATTACGCCTTCCATAAAATTTTCTATCTCGTCTCCTATATCATATAGTTCAACTATTTCAATCTAATTTAAAAACAAACATATGGTATAATTCTTAAATATACAGTATTTAAAATCTATCAATGATTTATGTGTTAGAGAAAATTCTGATGTTAATCTTATTGGGTTGAATTGGTCAGCAAGTAGTGGAGTGGGGAATAAGCAGGATGGAGAGGTAAGTTAAATCAGAGTTTAGAGGGGGTGTGTATATGGGAGATGGAGTTCCTGCGTAGTTGGATTTTGTGGATAGTGGAGCAATAGAGGGCAATGGAATAATCGAGGCGGGAGGTGACGAAAATGTAGATGAGGGTCTCTCCTGCATTGATCTGAGATACAGTCGGAGGCTGGCAATGAGACAGAAGTGGAGGAAAGCGGTCATGATAAGAGAACGGATGAAGCGTTGGAAGGACATCCTGGGATTGAACCTGATGCCAAGGACACGTACAGATTCAGTTAGTCTTAGGGATAGTCTGATGGGTTGCAGGAGAAAACTGAGGTCTGTGATGCACTTTACCTCCCAAAGCACATTATCTGACCATTTAAGCCATTTAAGCTGCCGTTTTCCAGCATTGGTTCTTTGAACTCTATTCTTAAATTTTTCATGTTGAATTTCCATTGTGATACCTCACTAGGCAAAGGTGAAGCTTATTCAACTGATACCACTTTAAAATTCAAAATGCTTTTTCAGTATAAAGCCAGGCGGTAACAAAATGTACTCACTCTCTTTCTTTGAGCTCCTTCTTCATAGAACCTCCTTTCTTCCTCCACCATCTCCAGGATTTGTTTGTTAAGAAGCGGTGGATTCACCCCTTTCACAGAATCCACAATCTTACCACCCTGGCAAACAGAAGAGATGGGATTTAAAAAGGTTGTAAATCCTAATTCTCAATTAAGTCAGCTTCAATACTTTCAACTCACCATTACAAATAAGAAGACAGGTTCACATTTGCCTTCAAACCCCTTTAACAAGGGTAGGCGGCTAGCTTCTACCTATGAAACAACAAAACAGTCAGATCCAGCAATATTTGTGTTAAATATTTTTAGTTAAAAAATTAAATTGACAAGTACTCACTGTATAAAAATGCAAAAGCTCATCTCCTATATCCAATTTCAGTCTTTTGAACAGACTCACAATTGCTTTACATGGTCCACACCAGCCTTGATAAACATCCAAAACTAAAATAAATATGCACAATAGCTGTATTAATTAATAGAACAAATTGTCTGGATCTAACCACCACCTGAACAAGATCATCATCTTGGCTGCCAGAGGCGGCCAACCTGTGGCACACCTGAAGCGCCCCTGAACATTTGCACGAGTTAAGGTAAGTCCTTGTTCGATTATTAGTGTGTTTTTAGTTTTATGACAGAAATCAAGAAATATTCAATCAAGAAAATTCATTTTGTTGGCCAACCATAAAGTTTGGTCACCACTGGTCTAGACTGTCTACGTTCATAATCAAATTAAATTTGTGATTGATGTATTATTTATCACGTGGCAGAAACTGGAGGCAGATCCCCTCAACACACAGAGTAGTGTTCTGGAGTAGAGATACCACTGTCAATGCTGAAGTGAAATTGCAGCCTTCAACTGCAGTTAGTGAAATACTAGCCAATTTGTGGCTTTTTGTTGGTGTGAATACATTTTGGGACACTACTCTGTATGAGGGGCACTATACAAATGAAAATTGTTGTAAATTGATATAATTGTAAAAATCCTAATTGGCTCTCATGAACAGGTTGGGTGCATACGACCATTATTTAGCTCCTTAAGATTCCTTTAAGATTTATCGTTGATAAACGATTGTAAAAACATGCAACCATCCACTGTAGAATTCTTAAATAATAAAGCAATTTAGATAAAAACTAATTATAATATAAAGAAATGAATGGGATACAGCCTGCTGCATTTATTGACTTAAAGCGGATAGTAAAATTTAAGTCAGCACACCTGATACACCTTTTGTTGCTAACATTGCCTCCCACTCTTCTTCATCAGTTATTGGTAACTGAAAAGCAAAAAATAATAATCCTTACATTTGATATAGCACCTTATCATGTCGTTGAGACATCTCAAAGCGGTTCACAGTAAAGTGTAAAGTGTAAAATCATTGTAAAGTGAATTGACTACATTTTGTGGGTGAATGCGGCAGCCAATCGTGCACAGCAGTATTTCCACAGACAGTTGTGAATTGGTTGACCGAATTATTATTATTATTAATTTTTTCGAAGGGAAACTTGCCTAAGGTTTCGCCCTGCCTGGGAATCAAACCTGGGAATCAAAACTTTTCGTTTTTTGAGGTGAGTTCTCCAACAAATACGCTACAGGACTCCACAAAATGCATCAGTTATTAAGATTTCAAAAACTCATATCTTTGAATTGGATGAACTGCTTCATACCTGAACTTGAATTTCCCTTCTCTTGCCAGCCATTTTTCTGAAACAAATATTGAAAAAAAACACATTAAATTCTATGTAGCTCTTGAACTATATGAATATGTATTGTTCCACCTCAATGCCAGCCTGGTTCAGCTGATGTAATTCCTCTGAGTTAGAAAATTGTAGGTTCAAGCTTAACTTCGGGATTTCAAACTCAAAATCTCGACTGACATTCCAATACAATGCAACAACAAGAAGATTACATTTGTATAGCGCCTTTCACGTCGGGAGGACGTCCCAAGGCGCTGGACAGTGTACAGCATTTCAGACCCAAGCTGGGGTCAGGGGGGGAGAAGGGAGGGGAGAGGAAGGGGGTTGGCCGATGGTACGGTCGAAGAGGAGGGTCTTGAGGCGGGACTTGAAGGAGGCTAAGGAGGTGGTGAGGCGGAGTGATTGGATGGAATTCCAGATGTTGGGGGCAGAGAGGCTGAAATATGCGGACACTCATCACCATCCCTAAGAGTATCCAAACCAAACTGAGAATTCCTACATATGGAAATTACAGCGATCGATTGTTGGAATGGAATCACACTCTCTCCCTGGAGGGACGCATCCCGCTTACCTAATTCTGGTAAATATTAGGCGCAGGTTGGCAAGAGCCAAGGCTTGGGACCCTAGAATGTGCATTGGAGTAACTGTTGGAGTCTAACCAGCTAAATCCGCATAACTTGCCATTGATAGCACTGTCTGCCAAGCTTTCAGCAGTGTCCTGGAGTACCGTGGACCTGCCTGGCTCAGGAACCGGGCTACCGAGACCGCCACAGAAGGCTGGGTTGATTCCGACATTCAGTTGCCAAACAAGTCACCTTGGAGGCAGTTCAGCTGCAAGCAGACCCTGCTTACCTCCCCACCAAGGAGGACAGTCACTAGTTGGTCATTTGACATCTGACAAGTGCAGGTTTGAGCCCTCACTAGGTGGATGGTGGGTACCAGGAACTCCTTGGGAGCTGCTTGCCTCTCTGCAAACAATCAAGATGGATTCCAAGCTCTGGATATACAAGCATAGGTTTACAAATCTGAACTCCAGGTTATCTATGCCTTCCAGCAGATGTTACCCCAAGTCTCAAGAGTTTCCTCATTAGCTATTTGGAGGGCATCTGCCTTCAGTGTTGCGGAGGACCTTTACAGGACAGATGGTGACGTGCCAGTCACCTTGATGTTCTCGAGGTGCAAATCCAATGCCGCTTACCAGGCTTACTCAGCACCAGCTGTTTATATCCAGGTCCTGGTGTTAGGGCCTTTGGCAAACAGAGGTACCTGATGTGAAGTTGACTCTGTCTCTTAGATGCTCAGCAGCCGGTCAACGTAGGCCGGAGTCCTCCTGCCCTGCAGCTGCTTCCCAGGTTTGCCACAAATCCACTTCACGGCTTGATCACGGACTTAGCGAAGGGGCTGGAGGAAGCCTCCTTATTGCATCCCAAGGAGCTCCCAAGGATCCGTAAAGCAGGGGCCCCTGACTGTGCAGCGAGCGACGGGAAATGTTTAATTTAAAGAGTGAGGAAGGAGGAAGGAAAAGAAGAAAAGCCATTCATTCTCCTGCCATCTTCTCACCTGTAGCTCCAGTCTCCAGTGGTGGGGGGGAGAGGTTGTGGGGGGGGGAGAGGTTGTGGGGGGGGAGAGGTTGTGGGGGGGGGAGAGATTGTGGCGGGGGAGAGGTTGTGGGGAGGGAGAGATTGTGGGGAGAGTGGGGAAGGTGGGGGGGGAGAGGTGGTGGGGAGAGGTGGGGGAAGGTGGGGGGGGAGAGGTGGTGGGGGGGGGAGAGGTTGTGGGGAGAGGTGGGGGGGTGGGGGGGGAGAGGTTGTGGGGAGAGGTGGGGAAGGTGGGGGGGGGAGAGGTTGTGGGAGAGGTGGGGAAGGTGGGGGGGAGAGGTTGTGGGAGAGTTGGTGGGGGGGTGGGGGGGGAGGTGGTGTGGGGGGTGGGGGGGGTGAGCTGACAGTTGGTGGGGGGGAGAGGTTGTGGGAGAGAAAAGATGAGAGAGCATATCTTCAAATTCCTATCTATGGAGGCACCCCCCCCACCCCCCACCCCCCACCCCACCCCCACCGAGGATGAATAGCTCAAAACTATTGAGATGAAAAAAAAGCTAAAGGCAAACTGCTTATTTAAAAATAATGGCGTTTGATTGGAATTTCGCTGACCGTCTGGCCGGTGGGTCGGTAACCCGCGGGCACCGATTTAAAATAGTCGTTAAAAGGAACAGAGGGGAGACGAGGAGAATGTTTTTCACGCAGCGAGTTGTTCGGATCGGGAATGCATTGCCTGAAAGGGCGGCGGAAGCCGATGCGATAACGACTTTTAAAAGAGTAGATAATTATTTGGGGAGGACAGGTTTGCGGGGGTGTGGGGAGAGCGCGGGGGAGTGGGATTGGATTGGATAGGTCTTTCCAAAGAGCCGGCACAGACACACGATGGGCCGAATGGCCTCCTTCTGTGCTGTGTAATTCTACGATTCCATGATCTCAGCCATTTCTCCCCTCAAAGGTTTGTTTTCACTCTCTTCCCATTTTACAGCTCAGAAGAAGGCCATTGTGTCTCTTTCAAAGAGCAATCTATTTTGTCGAATTTACCTGTGTGTTTATTTTCCCCAAATTCTTTTCTTTTTTTTAAAGATATCTATCTTTGCTCAAATTGGCAATTACATTCACCCACAAATGCACAGTCATTCCACTTCAGAGTATATTCTCTGAAGCGTTATGGTCTGGAGAATGCGACTAAATGGATAATATCTTTTGTAGAGCCAACACAGCCGACTGTGTGTGGGACATTGCTGTGCGCAATTGGCTGCCGCGTTCGCCCACAAATATACAGTCAATTCACTTTACAGTGTGTTCTGTGAAGCGCTTTGGGACGTCCTCCCGACGTGAAAAGCGCTATATCAAATGCAAGGATTATTATTATAACACAGCCATGATAGACAAAATTGCTTCCCGAACTGTAACGTTCTATGGTTCTGTTGCTGTGAAGAAGAAGGAAGATTTCATGCCAAAACAGAAAATGTCTTTGATCGTATTGGAAATATAAAATGCCCTGATGGCTTGTTTCAGAACCAAACTTAATCTAAGTAAGGAAAATGATTTACATAAATACTTCACCTCGCATCACTGGTCCTCGAAATTAATAGTTATGAACTACAATTGATCTAAAAGGTCCAGTTGAGTCATTTCACAGCGTTATTTGCCTATTAAGTTTGCTTTAATTATCTACTCATAAACTCCTGCATATGAGATTTTAATTTTACAACATATAATTGTCTTTTCATCAAGGAACTGAAGTATTTAACCAATTGCGAAAGCAGTTATCAGTTTTGAAATACTACACACCAAGTACTCTATGTTCTTTGATTTGAATCACTGATAAACAAAATCTTCAAAGAATGTCATTTTGAATGTCATCGAATTACTACCTATTGTGTTATAGCTGTGCTATAAAATTCTTCATTAAAATATTCTACTGAGTTTTCGCTCTCGCTATGATAATTATCAAATCTGGTTTGGAGTCGAGATACTCTGGAAAGTTTTACGGCAGAATTACTGTATTTCATTGTACTCTGAATTCATTACATGACAAACAGGCCATGGTGTCCCTCTGCTGGTGAAATAACCTAACATTAAAAACTGCACATACTTTGACAATGTAAAATAGTACTGAAAGAAAAGCAACAAAATTAAACCACCAACGTGGCTTCAAAATATTTCGAAGTATATTAGGTGAATTAATGGAAACTAAGTACTTACACACTAACAAACTAGCAAGCTAAGTACTTACCCAACTGTATTGAAAACAACGAGGACTATTTTACGGTATTTTTTAATGTTAATTGTTGTCAAGTGGAGTGAATGACTGATTTTGTAGGAAAACATGACATTTGCACACACCAAAGCTCCGCAAACAGCCTTAGTCCTATCTGGAATACTGTGCTCAGTTTGGGACACTGCATCTCAGGAAGGATACGCAGATTTATCCCTGGAGGGGGAATAGAGCAGATTCACCAGAATGATAAATGGCTTAAAGAGTTAAATTATGAGGACAGGTTGCATAAACTTGGCTTGTAAATTCCTTGAGCTTAGGAGGTTGAGGGGTGATCTAACTGAGGTGTTTAAAATGATAACGGGATTCGATACGGTAGATACAGAGAAACTATTTCCTCAGGTGGGGGCATCCAGAACAAGGGGGGGGCATCATCTTAAAATTAGAGCCAGGCCATTTAGAAGTGAAACTAGGAAGCATTGCTTCACACAAAGGGTAGTGAAGATCTGAAACTATCTCCCCCAAAAGCCTGTGGATGCTGGATCCATTCAAATTGTCAAGACGGACGTTGGTAGAGTTTTGTTAGTTAAAAGCATATCAAGGGATATGGAGCAAAGCAGGTAAATGAGTTACGTTCAACCATGATTTAATAGAATGGCAGAACAGGTTTAAGGGGCTGAATGGCCTTCTCCTGTTCCTATGTTCCTATCTGGAGCATTGTCGGCCACTGGTTACTCCCTGTTCTCGTGACGAACATTACAGGTTACACAAACATATTTACACAAACATATTTACACAAACATATTTGTTTAAATTTAAAAGCTCCATCGAACTATTCTCTGGTTCATCCATTCAATGCTACTTATGTCTTTCAACACAAGAGGGTGCACTGCACTTTGTTATGAGTTCAATGTCTTTGAAATGTACTATGTTCAAAGACAACTATATTATTCATAGTCTATAGTATTAAGAGTACAGTCTAAATTTTTTTTTTATTTTGTGTATGGATCCAATGCTCCAACTATGGCATAAACCCAGGTCGCGTTCAAATTTAACTTGGCCTTTTTCCTCTTGTATTCGTAACAATACAAATTTACATTTATATAACGCCTTTCATGTCAGCAGGACATCCGAAGGCACAAGAAAGGCCAGGGTTTGCAAACAAGCTGAGGGTGGGGGCTGTGGTGGGGGAATGCATAAATAAATGATAGCTAATATATACATTAAAGAGGTAAAGGACAATAATACTTCCGAAGATTCTAATTGGAATGAAAAAGCCAGAATGGATCCAGCAGAGCTAAGAGAAAGAAAACAGCAAAAATGAGGAAATAATATTTAGTTTTGAATTTAACGGACTCTAGTAGCATCTCATGAATTTGTTTGATGATGATGATGGGGGGGAGGGGGATGTTGGGGGGATAAAATGCCCGAAGGTATAAAGGCATATGAAAGAGGTAAGTCTTGAGGTGGACAACAACAACGACAAGAATACAGTTGTACAGCGCTTTTCACGTCGGGAGGACGTCCCAAGGCGCTGAAAGCCCTTGAAGGAGAATGAGGGAATGGGTGAACCTAAGGGATTTCTGTATGGAAGTATTATTGTCTTTGGAAGTATTATTGTCCTTTGATTGTGACGGAAACGCTGATAACCTGACCGCAGATGGTGTGGTGGGGGATATAAAGCAGGTTGGTGCCTGCTGACTGGAGAAAGTTACTGGGTTGGTAAGGTAAACCATATTTATATATTGGCGACTATAACCAGAAGCTTTATCCAGAAGAGAATACTCCAATCTTAAGTCTTTAATATGTTAAAAATGGCCATGAATCTGTATGCAGCAACAGGTTATTGCATTTTCCCAAAACAAAAATAGAATGAAAATGTTGTCATTTATTATTAACACTACTTTCTATGCTCCATATAGAATGGAGACAAATGTGGCGGAAAACCCGCACCATGTTGTGTGCCACATGCAGCGAGTAAAATTCAAATTGAGCTAGAAAAAGAGAAAGCAAAAGAAAAAAGAAAACAAATCTTTATATATTTATGCACTTTTTAAGCAAATGCATAAATGTACAACAGCTAATACAGACATTAAGGTGGGTAAAGGACAATAAAACATCCATAGATTCTAATTGGGATGAAAAAGCCAGAATGAATCCAGTAGAGCCAAGAAAGAGAAAACAGTCAAAATGACGAAATAATGCATTGTATTAAATTTAATGGAATCTTGTAGCATTTTATGAATTTGTTTGAGGAATTATGTTTAATTTGTCAGGTTGTTTTAGGAACCCACTGGAGCAAGCTATTCTGAAAAACCATAGTTACGATTCCAGTCATTTCTGAGTCCCCTTTTCTCTTAAACATATGAAAATATCTTGGCAAAGGAACCATTGCACTGAAAGATTAAACTTCTATTACCATTATCAATTGTCCAGCATCCCCCTAACACTGGGAACCATTTTGAGCGATCAGCCACCAGGAAAGCAAACATTTCCCTCCTCAAAAATCAATTTTTTAAATTTCTTCTTTACACGCGGGTTCTTTACACATTGCACAACTCACAAATTCGATTTCATTATCACAAATGTATTAATTACACTTTTATAAAAATTGAAATCTGTTCAGAAATATTGCAGAGTTGACCCCCTTTTTGTTGAAATTAGTTTTTGTCATTGGGTTCAATCGAAGGATATCTCAGTG